AGAATGGCTATAATTAACAAAACAAAAAATAACAAATGTTGGAGAGGATGTAGAGAAAAGGGAACTCCCATACACTGCTGGTGGGAATGCAAACTGGCACAGACACTATGGAAAACAGTACAGAGATTTCTCAAAAAATTAAAAATAGAAATACCATATGATCCAGCTATCCTACTACTGGGTATTTATCCAAAGAACATGAAATCAACAATACAAAGAGATTTATGCAGCCCTATGTTCATTGCAGCATTATTCACAATAGCCAAGACGTGGAAGCAACCCAAGTGCCCAACAACTGATGAATGGATAAAGAAGCTATGGTATATATATACAATGGAATACTACTCAGCCATAAAAAAGACAAAATCATCTCATTTGCAACAACATGGATGGACCTTGAGGGTATTATGTTAAGCGAAAGAAGCCAGACAGAGAAAGACATACACCATATGATTTCACTCATATGTGGAAGATAAACACATGGATAAAGAGAATAGATTAGTGGTTACCTGAGGGGAAGGCAGGGGTAGGCAAAAGGGGTAAAGGGGCACATATGTATGGTGATGGAAAAAACTAGACTATGGGTGGTGAGCACGATACAGTCTATACAGAAACTGATATATAATAAGGTACACCTGAAATTACACAATGTTGTAAACCAACATGACCTCAATAAAATATAAAAATAAATAAAAGTGTGATTTGCCGGCTGATTTGAGAACCACTGCTATAATCTAACTACAATAGAGCAGCCAAACCAGAATATCTCATTTCCTCAGTAATTTGAGTCCTATGAATCTGAATGCTTTTTATACCTTATTCAATGACACTAATGATGAAGATGTTTGATGAATCTGTATCTGCAAACTATTTTTCCTGAGAATTTCAAAATTAGGCCCTTTGTTCATTTAAGAATGTAATCCACATAAAATAACAATGATATAGCTCCCTAATTCATTGCAATAAATATTGACATTTAATGAGCAGATGAATGAAACAGACACAAAAGGATACAGCAAGTCTTAGCAAGAGCTATGATTGAAATGCCTCTGAGTGGTCACAAACAAGAATGCTGCCATGGAGGCTGCATAATTATTGCTTTGATAATAATTTGATATAAAAAATAATTCAAGGTTCAGATGCTTAGACTATATCACCTTTCAATACTGAATTCACTTCTATATTCAGGGCTACTCTGCTACTCTACAAAGGCTGACTGAATAAAGTGACTGGGAACAAATGGAACATATTTCTCCTGCTATCCTGGGTGTGTGCAATACCTTTTTTCATATAAATTAACTTCATATATTAATAGGGGGTAGTTATGATTAGCTCCATTTTACTACTGAGGAAATTAAGACTCAGGTTAAATAACTCGCCCCAGGTCACAGAGCTAGCTAGTTAAGTAGCAGGGTTTGGGATGTAAAGTCACATCTGATTCCCAAGCCCATCTTCCTTCTCCACTATATGACACAGCCAAGACTGTGTGGACATCTACATCTAGAACAGACATGATCCATCTGCATGTAGATGCACATACACTTTTCTCCCTTCCTCTCTCTCTCCCTCCCTTCCCTCTTCCTCTGCCCCAGAGAGAGAGAATTCTCTATATATAGATAGGGCTAGAAACAGATATATACTCAAATTCTTCTCCCTTTTATTTACCACTTTAGGTAATAAGTTCAGAAGACACTTCAAGGAGGCATTTATAAATCAGAGTAGGGCCAAATTTCCTCACCAGAAAGTATTTTACATTGTCACAGTGATGGAGTAAACAATAGTAATAATAAATGCTTTCAGTTAGATGTCAGTTGGGATAAATGTTTGGCTTGTCTGGAAATAGCTATCGTTTCCCACCAGTTACATCCTTGCATTGTGTTCTTTTGCTGCTATCGAATGAGAGCAAAGAGAGAATGAGAAGGGGGGGGGAGGGAGAGAGAGAGAGAGAGAGAGAATGAACTGACTCCTTAACACCCAGCTACCTGAGTAGCTAAAACTAGGTTAAATATAAAGCTTCTTGTTTCAATTGACAAAGAGGTCACTGGGCCATTAGGTAACTGGTTGAAATGTCAAACATTCTTGCTCCACATCTCAGAATATCCTTGTCACCCTAAAGGTGCTGCTCAACAGTAGCCTCAGAGGTGGCCCTCCAATCTCCAGGGAGGATTTTCAGTCACTAAAGATTGAGGGGCAGAGTTCTGAGGTGTTGGAATCAGGGAGCAACTTCCCTGAGCAGAGCTTTCCCACTCAGCAAGGGAGACTTGGAGACTGGAAAATTCCTCATGAACGCATCCTTCAATTATTGTTCCATTCACTCTCTCCACCCTTTTCCCTGTGGAATTTATAAGCTGCTCCTGATTTTCTCTCTAGACTCAGAATAGATAAATTCACACACTCTAACTTGTCTTCTACCAATGTGGCACCACAGCACTGGATTTCATTCTAGAAACTGGCACAGGAGGTACAAATGTCTAGTTTCATGACCCAGCAGATTGAATATCTCAACCCTTAGACTTTCTCCCCCAAAGACACATGAGGGTTGTAATAGAACCTAATAATAATCTTAACAACAATAAAAAGAAGAAAAACACTAGGGAAGTGGAAAGAGGAACTTTTTTAAGACTGCAAACACTCAAGCTAAAGCATGTATATGAAATAGCCTCTGTCAACATCTGATTTCTGACTTACAGACAAATCCTGTTGGAAGGGGAACTACATGCTTCTGATCACGGACCACAGTTTTAAGAGCCTCGCGATCAGAAATGCTCTGTGGCCTTGGCAGGTTTCTTGGCACCAGAAAGCAGCTAGAGTCTCCCTATAATTTACCAGCCTACACGACAGCTACTCCAGGCAACAAGGAGTTTTTGTTTTGAAGTCTCACTTAGAACAGAGGGGCAGGATAAGGGAAATGAGGGCTTTTAAACTCAGAGTGAGCAAACTAGAAGGGGGTCTTGTCCTCCTGGTGTTTATTTCTTGGACCAAATTTCTAACTCTTCTCTGAAACCCTCTGTTGAGATCAGGGACAAAGAAGATGAAAGGGAGAAAACAGAGGAAAGGGAACAAAAGACCTTCAACCTCAGGATTCTTAGTCTTCAGGGAAAACACAAACAGGATGAGTCTGTGTGTTTCATTTTGTGGCCCCTGGATGTTGGGAGGAGTGTCAAAGTGGATAAATACACCAAAGGCCTGAGTTTTCTGAGAAAGCTGAATCAAATCTACCAAAGTCTGACATCTGCAAGACCATGGCTTTCATCACGGGCTTAGAGCCACAATGGCGTTACCTGCAGAGGTCCATTTCTCTGCTTGGAAGCAGTTTCTCTATCTCATACCTTGGCTCTGGCATGACACACCTGCCACTTTGTTGTGAGGGGGAGAGGGAGGTGGTAAAAGGGCACTGGTTATATAGCCCATCCCACCCTCGCCCACTCCACCTAAAATTCACGACAGTATCTGGAAGGCTTTCTTGGAGTGCTGCTACATTCTGTCGAACTGTTCGTTACCAGGTCTGCCAGAGCTTATGACCAAATCTGACAACTCTAATTTTTTTAAGAGACAGAAAAAGTACATGTTCAGGTAATGGCTGTCTTACTCATTTTCATCCAGATGACAAGAAAAGTACTTCTGAATACAAACACATGTGATTGATACGGAAGACATATGTGCTTGTCAGGGGCAAGAAAACATCTGAGGATCCTCTGTTGGCTGGATCCCACTGTGTGGCGGACCAAAAAATTTTTCTTGACATCTCTTCTCTTGGGTCAACTATCTTAACAACTTGTGTGCAAACATCTCAGCTTCCTTTTATGCTTTTTTGGAAAAAAGACACGTTTGAGAATCTACTGAAAGCTGTGGACCTTGTCCTGGAAACGCACACACACACACACATTTTTATACACAACTTCAGGGAATTCATAGATCTATCAGAATCCATACATAGAACCTCCTCAGGGGTCCATAGACCTAAAGTTAAAGAACCTCTGGTCTAGAAGAAAAAATAGTTAACACTTATTGAGTACTTATTCTATGTCAAGCACTATTCTAAGTGTTTTAAGTAGATTTTTCTCAATTAATCATAATAACTCCATAGGGTAAGTACTACTGTTCTCTATTTTACTGACAAGAAAACAGTGGCAGAGAAAGTCACTTGCTCCAGGTCAAACAGCCAGAAAGTGGCAGAGCCAGAGTTCAAACCCAGGCCTTCTGGCTTTGGAGCTCCTCCTCTTAGCCACAAAGTCACAGCTGTGAAATGAAACAAATGAAACTAATTTTTTTATGCAGCCCATGATTGTAGCAGCTTCCTTTTTTTTGTGGGAGGTGGGCAGGCGTGCGGATAGTTTGCCTCTCCGGAGATCTGAGAATGCAGAGATGATGTGGCACTGGGCAGAGGAGTGATGCTTGGCCAGGAAGTACATGCCTGCTACTAACTACTGTTCATGGCACAAAACAAAAACTAGTCAGGCCTTCTACTTGGCTTCCAAAGAATAGGCCTGTGGCACTGACATTAGCCCTTGAGCTTGGAGATCTTGATCCAGTAATCGAGATTAGTTCCTGGGTCACAAACTTAAATACGTACAGGGGGCCAGGAAAGCAAAGCAAAGCAGAGACGAAGGCTGGTGTAAGGCATTGGTGGGGGCAGAGAGGGGACCATGACCAACTGGGGAGTGTGTGTCCTGTGTCAAAACATCCACATTTAACAACAACCAAAAAAAATCCCATGAAGGCCAAAGAAAAGACATTCAGCCTGTGGGCCATCAGTTTGTGACCTCTGAGTAGACCGCTTCCTTCCTACTCTCTAGTGTTTCCAAGTCAGGAGTACAGGGAATGCAATCTGTAAGTAAGGGACACGAGCTAGCCCATGTGACAATCAACACTGTGATTTCCATTTCGTTAGAAGCCTGCTTTTACGTGCTAACCAACCGAGCAGTAGGTCACTAGCAGAAAGGTCCAGACACCAGAGAGGAAGAGCCCTCAGGCAGTAAGAGATAGCACACATCACATACCTCATACACAGGGAGCATTCAAGGTCAGATGCGTCAAAAGATGCGAGCGGAACACTGAGAGCAGGCTTAGCCCCCTGATCTGCAGAAAGATCTGTGATTCAGAAAGCAGTAAGTCAGAGCGGGACCAACCTTGGTTTCACAGACAGTATTTCTGAGGCAAAAGAACCCAATTATTTTTTCAGTCTGCCACTCTCACCACCTCCCAGAGAGTTGATTTAGCGGCTATCAGAGCCATTAAGAATGGGATACCCTGAAGTAGGCTCTTGGAGGTTTCTAGCAGCCCCATAGACAGAAGTGCAAGTCAGGGAATGTCCAGGAGCCCTGGGGACTTCATTCAAATGCAACAGGCACCTCACTGAAGAGCAGCAGCGGCAGCGACTCCATGGGCTGAGCCAGGCTTTCAAGGCTGATACTGAATCTTGGCACTGCCAACCTCTCTTGGAAAGATATCAAGCTGCAGCTACTGCTTCTCAGATGCCTACCGATGGGAACATAATTGGGAATGAGCAGAGTGAGGCCTGACCACACTTGCTTGGTCCCACATTCCTGGAACGGGGATGGGGGAGGGAGAGGCTGGCCTGGAAGGAAGTGGCGCCATCAAGGGCATGAGATGTCATTACTTGATACTGTGCTTGACCTTATGACTTGGCTTTCCATTATAATTACTACTGAACACTGGCAATAAGCTAGGAACTGTGCGTGCTCTCACAGAAACTTTGGAGCAAGCCCTGACATGGCACAGCTAAGTGCCAGAGCTGGGCCACACACCCAGAGCCCAAGGAGCCCTCACATGGAGGGTAAGTAATTGCACATATTGGTGAGCCCAGGCACCTCCTCCAACCTCTTTTCTCCCTAGGTAGAGTCCGTACCTGGCTTAGAGGCTTTATTAGGCACCTCTGGGTCTTGGGGTTCAACTGGACAATGTTTCCTTTTCTTTTCCTGGCATTTGCCTGTCTTGATGGAGGCAGCTTCTGGAGAGGCAACATCCCCTTTCTCCTCCTCTTCTTCCTGGTTTCTCATGTTGTCTTCCTGCCCATCCCCCTTTACATCAGCTGGGTTCACCAGGCCGCTGCAGTCCCCCTCGGCTGCTGCTTCCTCCTGACTAGAACAATGTGGGAGCTCTGGATTTTCCTGGAGGAAGAAAGAGCCAAACATAAGAATCTACTCAGGACCAATCTTGTCCTCTGATATTTCTGCCCACGGGACAAAGAGAAAACTACATAGCCCTGATCATTTAGTGGACACATAGCTTAACTGAAGGGCAGTCATAAGGCATATTTCCCACTTCTGTCCACACAGCATCTGTGACAAAGGCAGGCCCAGCTTGGGCGGAGCTGAGGGACTTCCTTAGGTAAGGACAGAAAAGTGTGTAGGGAAGAGACTCCTTGGGCTGTGGTGAAGGAGAGAAACGTAAAGTATAGCACCAGTTCTCTCTCTTATCCAAATCAGTCCCCAGCTACCAAGGCATGCAGTTAAGGTAGATCCTGTCGCTCACTGCCATTCCAGGCCATCCACAAGCCCCAAAGCCCAGCTCCAAAAGGACTTTTGGTAAGGCTTTGGCACAGGCGTGTCAGGCCTGCAGAGTCACCTCATGCTCCAGAGCTATATGTTACACTGGCCAAATGAACTAGAGATAAACTATTCCTTTTACTAGAGTTTGAGTGAAAAGTCTGAAAAAGAGACAAAATCATTTGGCAAAACAATCAATAATGTCTCTAGCCTTTTCAAGAATTTTTGTCCAGGAGAGGGATATTTGAAAAGACATCTCAAAATAAATCCAATGACAAGGTGTTTATGCAGCTTTACCTGGAGAATCCCCTCTCTACTCTAAATCCTGAGTCCACTGGTCAAAATGCTCATGTTGTTTTTCCCCTCCAATCCCTACCAAAAAAAATGGTAGATAGGGCCGGCCCCGTGGCTTAGCGGTTAAGTGCGCGTGCTCTGCTACTGGCGGCCCGGGTTCGGATCCCGGGCACGCACCGACGCACTGCTTCTCCGGCCATGCTGAGGCCGCATCCCACATACAGCAACTAGAAGGATGTGCAACTATGACATACAACTATCTACTGGGGCTTTGGGGTGAGGAAAAAAAAAGGAGGACAATTAAAAAAAAAAAAAAAGGTAGATAAACTAAAAATGGTGGGGCCAGCCCGGTGGCGTAGTGGTTACGTTTGCGCACTCCGCTTTGGCAGCCCAGGTTTGTGGGTTTGGATCCCAGGCGTGGACCTATACCACTGATTGGCCATGCTGTGGCGGCAACCCACATACAAAAGAGAGGAAGACTGGCACAGATGTTAGCTCAGGGCAAATCTTTCTCACCAAAAAAAAAAAGAAAAGAAAAAGGTGGGGGGAAGTATACAGTTGGGAGAAAACAATGAGGTGAGGAGAAAAAGGATGTGGGTTTTCTCAGTCTCTAACCTGGGGAGTTCCAGGTTTTTTCAGCACTTTAGCAATGCTGCATCCTCAACTTTCCACAAGACCCAGGCATTGTCTACACAGGAGTGCACTGCTTTGCAAGGCAAAGTTTGGATGGAAACCCAGTCCCTGTTCCCCAGCTGGCTCACACTGGAAAGCCAGAGGTGCTATTTTTCTTCATTTCGGATGGAGCTGCAGTTAGAAGTCACCCCAGGCACTTTGGTTCAGTATGAGTGTTCTCAATCATGTAATAATGAGCCCAAACAATTATTGAAATACACTAGGGGTTCTCTGACATCAGGCGATCCTCTAAGTTCTGCCCTTTTTTTTGAGTTGGGAACACTTGCATTTTATTCTTTTTCCAGAGCAGGGAGAGAAGCTGGGAAAATGTCAAGTTTCCACCTGTCAGAGAAGCCAAGAAGCCACTGAGATCCCAGGGCTTACACACAGGGGAGGAACACAGGGCACAAATGGAGGGGAGACTGCTGCCCCAAGGGGCACGGGTATTTGGTGCTAGACTCTGCCTTCAAGTCAGGACTTCTGAGCCCTAGCTTCTGCCCACTTGCCCTCTGCTGGGAAAGCCTGGAGCCCATCTGTCCGTGGTTCTGTTCCCTCGTTTTCAAAGAAAGGCACAAATAGCTGTCTTCCTCCCAGGAACTTCAACCTAACACTTCCCAAATTGCTTCCCTCTTCTCGGCTACAAAATATGTACTGGAAGTCTACTTGCGTGTAACACACGGTGCAGGAATATGAAATTACCTCCACTTGGGGATCAAATGGAGCTGTCTTTGCACAAGGAACTCAGCTGTGCTCAAAGACTGGCGGCTTGAACAAACAAAAAGCAGGAAAGGAGGGGCTGTCAGGCCCTCTTCCCAGGCTCTGCCCCTAAGCTGATAAAGCTACCCTGAATGAATGGCTCCACGGAAAGTGGGCCAACTCTTTTCTAGTTCTGTCAAATCCCTCTCTCAGCTGGATCTGACCAAGAACTAAAAAATGAATGTAATAAATCACAAACCCTGGGACCATGCCTGAAACCAAGTTTTATCTTTAAGAAATAACCTTCTAGCAAAGAACACAACCACTAGCGAATCCATTTCTTCTTTCTCAGGAACTGAAGTAGGAGAGGTAGGGCTCACTCCCCGTTTGCCCACAAAACAGCCAAACGAAGCGTCATGAGCGAGCTGGGTGAGTTGAGTTTTACCTGTGACAAGTTTGGTAGATTATGGCTGGTGCCTTCAGTAGCCATTGACTCTACGTGTTCCTTTAATCTAGGGTGAGGTGCCAACAGCTTCAGGATATCGGGAGAATGTTCCTGAGAATCCCCCGGGACTGATGGTGAAAAGAAACTAAGGAGAAGCTGTGACATAAAACAGAAAACTTCACTACTTAAGTTTCTACAGGTGTTCAGGCGTAGTGGGGAGGGGTAGGAAGGGGCGGGGAAAACAGCTTGCAGGGCAAAACTCCCAGGAGGAAGCCTTGGATCAGAGACCCCGACACACCAGGGCGGGGGTCCTCACTTCAGCGTGCATCAGAATCGCCTGGGGAGCTTACGAAAACTCCAGGTTCCCAGTTCCCACGCCCGGCTCCCCCAGGTCTGAAGTGTGGCCCAGGAATTTGGATTTTGAAAAGGCACCATGGATGCCTCTGTCACCCTAGCCAAAGTTAAGAACCACCACTCCAGTGCTACCATTCCATAGAAATATCTGCAGTGGGATTTAAAAACCTATCTAGGGGGGCCTGCCCCACGGCTTAGCGGTTAAGTGCGTGCGCTCCGCTACTGGCGGCCTGGGGTTCGGATCCCGGGCACGCACTGACACACCGTTTGTCAGGTCATGCTGAGGCCGCGTCCCACATACAGCAACTAGAGGGATGTGCAACTATGACATACAACTATCTACTGGGCTTTGGGGAGAAAAGGGGGAAAAAAGGAGGAGGATTGGCAATAGATGTTAGCTCAGGGCCGGTCTTCCGCAGCCAAAAGAGGAGGATTAGCACGGATGTTAGCTCAGGGCTGATCTTCCTCACAATAAATAAATAAACAAACAAACAAACCTATCTAGGAGGAAAGAGACAGAGAGTGCAGGCAGGAGAGAAATATCAGCTGGGGGACCTGGAGTCATGCCTATCACACCCCAGTGGGTAACGTCTACCAAAGTCTTCTCGGGTCCTCACCATTCCTCTTCTATGCCTACCATTTTGCTCCCTCCTCCCCTGACCCTCATCCCTGGATCTTTAATCACTTCAGCAGTGAAGTGTTAGGAAAAGCAGAACTCAAACTTCCTCTCTTCTCCCAGCCTCTCTTCCCCCATTTCTGGCCTTCACTATCCAGAGAATGTCAGGTAACTTCAAGTACTGCGGGCAGGCACGTTCCAGTCTATGGCTGGTTTCCCTTGCAACTGGATAACGCGGTTGAGTGAGAAGATCCAGAAGGGACTGGGAGTCAAAGATGTGTGTTCTAGCGCAGGCTGCGCCATTAGTGCCAGCAGGATTATGAATATCCATATGGACATATCGTATGTAACGTGTAACACAGGAAGGCAGGTCACTTGGCTTCTAAAACACATTCAGGCTGCCACTGAGCAGCCCCTGCAGTGTTTGGAGACCCACTAAAGGATGTTCCACCCCCTTGCTTGGAGTAATAGGGTATTAATTGATCAAGGGAATCGGACAGAAACTCTGACCAAACTCGCTGCAGTTTGATTTGTTCCCTTGCTGGCCCTCAGCAGTTCTTTCATGATGTTCCTTCAGATACCAGCACTTTCCATGTAGCCAAACCCTGCTCAGCCTTCGAGGCTCAGCTCCAGTGCTGCCTTCCCCTACTACTCCAGCCTCCCTGATCTCGCCTGTCCTTGCACATTCTCTGCTGCACCATAACATAGCACCTTACCCTACACAGTCTTGTGTTAGCCTCGAATTGTCTTGCAGATGTAAGTCTTTCTCTCTAATCAGGTGACCAGCTTCTGGAGGGCACATGACATAGGTCCAATAAATACTCATCACACCCAAGAGAACTGAATTAAGACACTTATCCATCCAAGGGCCAGGGAGAGGTCTAGGGTTCAGGCCCAAAATCCTCAGACAGATCCTATGTTTTCTTCCAGCTCTGAGAAACCCACTTCTCAGGTCTAAGTTGGTAAAGGAGTAAGGTGGGGAGGTACTCAGAGTGCCCAGGGCCATAAATGCAGCTGTCAGAGGCCCCTCCTCCGCAGGAGCCAAAGTTGTTCCTCAGAAACCCTCCTGAGTGACCCAACAGAACCAACCCACTTCTGAAGCAGTCTCCATGGAATTCTTCCAAAAAGAACGTGACGCTCTTCAGCGGCAGCCACATGGCTTCCCAAGGTACAAGGATAAAAAGGCAGAGCACAACGGGAGGGAAAGGGAGGCAGAGGAGAGAAATTGAAGGAGATAAGACAGAAACAACAGCAGCACTTCACTTCTTCCCTTTGCTACCTAAGATCTCATTCTAGGCCTTCCCAATGGCTTTGGAAAACCAAAGTTGGAGTCAACTCTCAGTGAAAATAATCATTCCACATGAATGAAAGTCAATTCCACTTCAGTGTCAGCCTTACAAAGGCCCAAATGGGTCAAGAAGGTGAAAAAAAGAATCTGAGGTAAAAATAAACATTAAAAAGAAACCTAGGCCTGGGAGTGTCTGAGGTAGGTACTTAATACCAAGTGAACCTGGACCATCTCTGTCAAATCTTTGGCCCTGAAACTGGAACAATCCAGTAAATAAGCACTGCTGAGGGCCCTCAGTGTTCTTAGATGGCTGCCATGCCCTCATCAGACTCAGTGGAAATTCGCCTCTAAATTCTTGCCCCAGCTTCAGAATTCCAGAACACTTATGGGCATATGCTCGCTTGTGTAGTCTGGCATTTACATTGCATTGTATAACACATGCAAGATTGAAAGGTCCTTGAGGACTGAGACAGGGGCTTATGCCTCTTTGGGTCTCCAGATGCCTTGCCCCATCCTGCTAGGCAGTTGTGGAAATGACACTAGCTGCTCTATAAAAGCGGCTGGAAAGAGAGGTCAGCCCAACTGATGATACCAGAGCCTCTCCGGCCAACTGGGAAGTGGACAAATGGGAGTAAAGAAACCACTCACCCTGGACCTGACACCTGCCTCTGTTGGCCTTTGCACACTCTGTCCCCAAAGTCAAGGTTCTTCTAACCGCCTTTGTCCATCCACCCCAGAACTGGATGGTCCCATTGCCACTCTCCACCCAGCCCCAGGAGTGCATGCTGAGACTCCTGGCATGTCCTCCCCGGACAGCAGGATGGTTGAGTGGCTAAGAAGGCAGAATCTAGAAGCAGATGGAGTTGGGTTTGTACGCTCTTCCACCAATCACTAGCTGTGTGACCTCAGGAAAGTCACCAAGCCTCAGCTGCCTCATCCATCTCATCTATAACATGGCGATAAATAACAGTACCTACCCTCATAGGGATGTTGTGGGGATTAAATTATATCTTCCACTGAAAGCCTTAGTGCAGCGCCTGGTGCATAGGAAATGCTCAATAAATGTCACCTATTATTACTATTAATATTCACACCATGGACGACACTTAAGAGTTGGGGAAGTGTCCACAGCTTGAAGCAATTCTCCGCCACCAGTGCTCCTCTCAAGAACACCTTGTCCACATTCCCAAACTGGGTCAAAGCAACTTCCCAGAAAAGAAATCTTCTGCGAGAGGCAGAACCTCCAGAGCTCAACTTCCCCTCGTTCATTGATTTTGCTAAAGATTCCTTTCTGGAGCCTTCAGAAACCAGTCCTGTCTCCTGCTCCCTATCTTCATCCGCTGCTCTGCCAAACCCCACTGGGACTGAAGCAAACGGGGCGTGGTGCTGAATAGGGGGCGGGGCACAAGGAGAGCAGAGGCCACCACTGACTGTCAGCATCCCACTTCCAGGCCACTTAGCCAGACACCATGAGAGTACACTGCAGACCAGTAAGCAACAAAATCCATGAAGTAAGGATGCTTGAGCCTTCATGAATGCTCTCAGGAGTTCATGCAATTTTTTAAAAAAAATAACAACCACATTCTCCTGGGACTCAAGAGTTGGCATGACTGTTTGGATTACATTGTAATGATCCCTGACTTACATTTGTGAGGCAGTGTATGTGTTTTATTTCTAGCAAAGGAGCTGGAGGTTGGAGTTCTGCATGTGGCAGGGGAGACAGGCACTAACCTCCTTTCTGAGCAGATGGCTGCCCTGTGTGGCTGGTGAAGCTGTGACTCAGCTGAAGAAAAGTTGGACAACGGCAGGCAGCCCCACACCCTGACCTCTCATCAACAGCCAGAATCTCCTCGGTGAGCCTCTGTCCCCAAGTTAACTTATTTGGTTTTATTTTGTTCTGTTTTTTATCCCACTGACAACACAGAGCCCGAATCAAAGAAGCAAGAACATTCCTCACAGGCTTGTACAAAAACGCAGGAACTGCTCAATCTGATTGTATATGGCAAGAGGACAGTGTTTGGGGGCAATCAATTGGCACTTGTGTCTCCCTCCTGTCCCCTTAACCCAGGGGGCCACGCATTCAGGACCCCAAATGCCAAGGAGGACAGTTCCCTCACTCCCCTCCCTGGAGAAGACAGAGAGCAGGGAGCCCATTGGGCGGCTGGACCTGATGTCATCTCAACTCACCCTTTGGGCTTCAGATCTTGCTTTTTTGTTCTTTCCATCAAGGGATACACAATATAGAAACTCTCTTAGTGCTTCCTCCACCTTGCCTAGGGTGGCTAAGGCTTGCGCTTTTCTGAAGTGTGCCTGGAAGAAAACATTAGCATTCAATCCCACTCTCATTCACCTTATTGATGATGCTATTATTAATAACACTAGCTAAATACTCCGTGGGTATTCACTGTTGTGGGAAGTGTTTTAAAAGGATTATCTTCTCTACAGCCCTGTAATGTAGGCAATTGTTCTGAAGCCCTTTTTTTTTTTTTGGTGAGGAAGATTAGCCCTGAGCTAACATCTGTTGCCAATCCTCCTCTTTTTTGCTGAGGAAGGTTGGCCCTGGGCTAACATCCGTGCCCATCTTCCTCTACTTTATATGTGGGACGCCCACCACAGCATGGCTTGAAAAGCAGTGCGCAGGTCCACACCGGGGAACTGAACCTGGGAAACCCGGTCCGCCAAACTGGAGCACGAACTTAACCACTACGCCACCAGGCCGGCCCCTGAAGCCCATTTTTAAAAAGACAAAACTGAGACCCAGAGGAGTGGCTTGCCCAAAATAACACAGCTGGTAAATTGTGGAATCAGGGTTTGAGCCTAGGACTGACTGATACAAAAGTCCAAATTCTTCACCCCTGTGCCACACTACCTCCCCTCTGCCCCACTGTTGTATAGGAGGTCTCACCAAATGTGGCAAGAACCCCCATTTGAGCACATACTAACCAGCTTTCAGAACCCCCCCAGATACGCCTTCCTATTAACTAGTCTGTCAAGCAGAGACCTAGCCCACATTACTAGCCTGAGTGACTACCTATACTTACTGATCATTTTTCAGAAGAGGCCCAAGGGAAGGCATGTGACCTCTCCAAGACCTCAAAGGTAGCTAGTGGCAGAGCTGGAACTAGAACTGTGGCCTAGGACCCCCAGAAAGCTCTTCCCCACAAAGCAGACTGCCTTCAAGGGGCTAACCAGGGGCTGAGCAAAGGCTTTCACTCCCATGGGCTCAGTTCACTTCTGTTCCTTTGCCGCATCTTTAAAAGGTATAAAAAAGTTTTAGGGCTCCTCAGGGTCGAATCCCAACTGGCCTGGGAGAGAAACTCTAGGGGTAGCAGAGGAACATCCTGGGGAAGAGGGAGGAAGAAGAAAAGAGGTGGGAAGAGGGCTGCCCTCTTCTGTGCCTTGGCCTTATAACTTGTTTTGGAGGGCATTCTTCTTGAATCACCTAGGTTGCCCCTCAGGGACCTGCTCCCCACTCCCTTGCCTCCGTGGCTGATCTTGAGTCTAACAGTGAAGGAAATGATCCAGGTTGCAGCTGCTGGGTGCTCCCCTGCCTCCCCTTCTAACATGCTTCTAAAGGCCAGGGGGCTTTCAGGCTCTGGCCTGGCTATAGGCGCTGGCCGGGATCTGCCTTCTTGAGCAGTGGTGCCTGTTACAAACCTTTGGGGACCTCTCCCTGTGCCCCCAACTCTCCACCTGGAGCCTAACCTCGGCTGGTGGTTTGTTCTCTTCCCACAAGTATTCACCAGGGGCCCTGTGGAGAAAGGCTCACATGACATTTCAGGGTGGCCAGAAGGAATAAGTGTTGGGAGACCAGAGAGGCCTCTGGGATCCCACCAATCATACCAAGGAACAACTCATATCCTCCACCTGCTCAGGGCAGCCAGCTCACTTCACTGAGAGCTGTACCACTTTCAGGATATTTTGAGTACCACTGAGCTCTGGCTGGATGGTTGGAACAGGGCTGCACAAGGTGAACCCCTCCCATAGGGGCATTTCACAGAGAAATGGTGGGAAGTATGCAAATCGGGGAGTGAGGTGGTTTTGAAACATATGCATCAGTTCAAGTCTGCTCTCAACCCCCCAGACGACAGAGTTCTCTCCTCACTGCCTCTCCGCTCACTCCAGCACTTTGGGGAAATGAAACTCCTGTTTAATACTTCCACCAACTCTTCCTTCACCGAGGAAGTCACTTTTCCCATTTCATCCAAAAAGGTCCACTGCTTACTCAGCCCTGCTTTCCACTGCTCTACGGAGGCCTCCACCCTTAGGCCCTAGGTTTAGGGGGAGCACAAAAAGTTGCAAAAGAATCCTGCTTCCCCCCAGGCAGCTCCCTGACCTGCACTGCTACAAGGCCTGAACTGCTCCCACTGAGGCTCCTTAGGGTTAAGACACTGGTGACTTTTAGCAAACTGTAAATGTGTTCCTTGGGAAAGAGAACATACTAATCCATCATCACCCATGAAAACCTTCCCGGAAAAGAACATATGAGATTTGCTCTGACATTAATGGCCCAGTATGCAGGCCCACAATGCTTTATCTGAAGTTCCCAGATCCATAAAAAGTCTGATAATCCACTATTTTCATAAGCTTGACATCAACAGTCATTAGGTGGCAAAACCTGATCTAAAATGATATAAAGTGTGTTATAGTCTTGATCTCAGTGTGACTTTTCATGTAATATGCTGCAGAAATATTAGTGTGTTTGATTATAGGGCGCTGTCCAGAGCTCATTGATGGTGTCACTTAATATATGGTCTTTATGAAATCAGAAACATTCTGGATTCTGAACACATCTGGCCCCATGGGATTCGGATAAGGGACCACAGACCGGGACTTGGATAAGTTGGGTTTCCTAGCGTTGTATCAAGAGAGCACTACACCAAGATCCAGCAGGCCTTATAGAATGGCTTCTTGGCCATGCTCCCCTGTGACCCTCACTGCATCCCTGTGAAGCGATCAGGGCAGATAGTAATAGCTCCATTTTGCAAACAAGGACACTTTGGGTCCAGAAAGTGAAGCAACTTCCCCATGGTCACTTAGCTGGCAAGTAGCAGAGCCCAAGCTCAAATCTAATCTTCTAAACCAAATATTGACATGTGGCTGAGGGCCAGTCCTGAGACCAGACAGATGGAGAAAGTGACACTTTGCAACCTGGCATCTTGAGAGATGCCTAGCCTGTCTTTCTCCCCACCCCTCCATGTAACCTAGATGTTGGGATACCAGCAGGCTGACTGACTATATTAAGGACTCAAAGTGGCACAACCAACCAGCAATACTTCTCTCACTCTCCTCTTTCTACTGTCCCTGGAAAACAACGATGATGATCTTGATGAGAGCAAACACTCATATAACGCTATGTTCCAGGTACTGCTCTAAGCATCTTACATGTATTAGCTCAGGTAATCCTCACAACAAACCCTGTTAAGTAGGTGCTTTGAATATCTCCATTTTATAGATGAGGAGATGAGGTACAGGGAGGTTAAGTAATTTGCCCAAGGCCACACAGCTAATAAAAGAAGCAGAGCTGGGACATAAACTCAGGCAGTCTGGCTCCGAAGTCCATGTTCTGGAGAGTTACAGTGCCCAGGCTGCTCTGCAGGTTATCAGTTGAAGATCAAATTGGGCAAGAATCCAGTTCCCTTGCAGACTCCTAAGTCACTCTTTGTCAAGGGACCCCCAGCTCCTTTGCAAAGCCTTCTCCCTGCTCTGCTTCAGCTCTAGTCCCCTACCCCCCAGGGAGGCAGCCCTTCCTGCCAATTCCTGTCTACAGTACAACTCCTTCCCATCCCTCCCATCCCACACTCACCTTAAAACCCATTGGGCGGAGCTTACATGCTATTTCTGCATCATGCAGTGCATCCTCATGAGACTCCAAGGTGAAATAAATTTGAGACCGGTTGCTATAAAGCAAGTGGTCATTTGGAGCTGCCAAAATGAGAAGAAAAAAACCCTCATTAATGGCCCCCAGCATAAACACGTGATAAGTCCTGTATGAGGACGGATCTTGAGCAAATGTCAAGTTATCTAGGACTTTTCTAATAGGGATCCAAAGAGTTAGGCTCAATTTTCAGCCCTAATATTGCCTTCTGGGTCTGAGCTTCCCAACTGTAAAGAAATAGTTTTTGCCTCTCTCTCAAGCAGTTCCTTAGAAGGCCTGGTAGTGTCAGTGGAGCACTAGCGACTTGGACACAGAGGAAACCCTTGGCACTTTGCTTCGGGGCTGTGCATGGCTAGCAACTGGCAGCCTGGCTTCTGAGTGAGATATATCACCCAAAAAGAAACAGGCCATGGAGCTGGGAGAGGGAGGTGGCCAGATATTACCCCCATCCTGGCCACCAGGAAGACAAGTCCAAATTAGCCGTCTGGCAACATTAGCAACATCTCTGTCTACAAAGCCCAGCACATATGAACTTTCTCCGAAGACCATGGGAATGCATTTGCAAAGCTCCATCCTCTCATTACAGATGGCCAAACATGAGCGAACCTGAACAAAGCTCCGGGGAATAAAGTGAGGTTGGCTCTCACCAACACTTTGAGTCACTAAATGCTGGGGTTGGCCAGGCCTTTAGATATCATCTAGCTCAACCAACCCATTCTTCAGATGAGGAAAATCAAGGCCAGAGAGGGGAAGGCATCTGCTCAAAATCACACAGCTAGCTTGTCAGACTCATTGCTAACTGGCTAGACTTTGACGCCGAAGTAGGGGACATGTTCCCTTTTCTGAAGGGTGTATGATACTTAGAATAATAAAGAGCAGACACTGGCCATCTTCCAGCACAAAGATACTCTCTGTTGGGGAGTCCCCTTTCCTCTTAAAAGGGTGAAGTGGCCTTGACATTTTAACTCTGACTGCTCTGACGGGATTAACAAAGGAAGACGCCCCAGGGAAAAGTGATGGCAGCAACAAAGGGGGAGGAGGAGGGCAGGAAGGGGCTTTCCTGGCCCCTGGGGGATGGCTGAAAGGAATGGAACCTCCGTTGGAGACCTGGGCTTAAGTGGCCTTCATACTGCCCTGCTCTTCCCCAGGGACTGGGCTCCAGCTTCTGCTGCAGGAACAGGCTTTGTTAGTTTTTTCCCAGGAGTGTGCCCAGGGCTTGCTTGGGTGCCCATTACTTGCTCTCAAGACATTAGCAAAGAGTTAAGTCTTCTCTGTCTCTCCTTTTCTGCAGCACACACCAGCCGGGTGGCAGCTCTCAGTGCGTCTTGCCCAGGCACAGGATGTGCGTGTGGCGTGGGGGAGTCCCCCTCTCCCTCAGGTGCTAGTCTTGCCCAGTCAGCCCTCGTTCCATCCCCTCCCCCGTTACCTGTTGCAATCTCGGGTGGGAATTCAACACGTGAAGACTGCAGCCCACTCCCTCCTCCACCCATCCGAGTCGGGCTCAGGGCACCGTCGGATCCAGAGCCCTGTCTGCCCAGCCCTGCTGTCTCCTCCTCGGCACACTTCGCCAGACACCGCGCCCCGCCGGCGAGCTCCTGGCAGCTGGCCCGAGCTGGGCAATACTGGGTCCAGACATGGGGAGTCTGAGGGTGCCGCTCCCTGAGGGAACTCTGGCGCCCTAGCCCGGCGTGGGGCTGCCCACGTCGCCCTTGAAGCCGCAAAGCCCACCCATCCCTCTCCTGGCAGCACGGGAAAGCGGGACAGAGGCGTGCCCACTTCGTAGCCAGCCCACAGTTCCCGGGGATCCCTGATCACTTGCCTGACCCGGACCCCCGCTGGGCTTGCGCGGTAGGGGTTCGAGGCGAGGGCACAGGCTGCGGGCGGGGCGGGGGGGGCATCTATTTCAGCTGAGGATCGTGTGATAGGAAGCGGTGACAATGAGTCACAGGGCAGCCGGGCGCGAGCGCTCCCCCCCCCCCGCACCCGCTCGCGGGATGGTTTCCGAGGCGAGCGTGGCCCACTTCGGTTACCTCAGCCGTTACACAATCCCGCCCGCCCGCGCGGAGGAGGGGCCGTCCGACCCGGGCCGCTCGCGGCCCTTATGCAACCAGTGCTCTCCTGACCTAATTCCTCGCCGGACCCACCCCACCAGGAGCCGCGGCCCCGGAAGGGACAACTCCCGGCCGCAAGGGCGGCCCGGGCCGGGGAGCGGCAGAGGCAGGCGCCGACCGAACACCTCGGTCTGGCAAGAGCCGGGAGGACCGGGCGCGAGTGTGGGAAGGGTGCGAAGTTCCTCTCCTGGCAGGGTAGGTGCGAGCAGGTGTAAGAAGGCACCCAGGCGTGCAAAGGGAGAGAGAGAAGGAGAGACAGAGAAACTGATACTGACAGAGATGGTGACAGTGAGCAAGACACTGACAAGTATGTGAAGAGGCAGAGAAAAAGAGACAAACAGTGACACAAACAGAAACACGGACTGAAAGACGCAGAAGCGCAGAAGCAAACAGGAGAGAGAAAAAGACAAAGAGCAACAGGGAGAGAGAGACAGAGACACAGACACAGAGAAAGAGAGATAAAGCGGTAGAGACAGAGGCAAAGCCAGAGACCGAACTCCAGAAAGCCTCCTCCCCCACTCCGGTCGCGGTCCATCCCACGGTCCCCCGCGGCCTCCTCTGCCCTGGTCCAGCCCCCAACTCCCTGCCCGGTTCCTTCCCCGCCGCCCGGCCCGGCAGCGCGGTGGACTCACCTAGCCTGACTGCCTCGTTGTACTTGAGCAGCGCCGCCTCCACCTGGCGCTCGCGGTACAGCCGGTTGCCCTCGTGCCGGAGTTGCGACGCCCGTGCCGGGCCCGGGAACAACTTGCCGAGGAGGCCGCTGAGCACCACGTTGACCCGCAGCGGCGGCTGCGCCTGCTGCCCAGCCCGCCGGGCCCCGCGCGTCCGCCCGGTGGCCACCATCAACGCAGAGAGCTTGACCCCGCACAGCGCACAGCGCCGGTCGGCTGCCCGCCCACGTTCCAGGCACAGTTTACAAAAGGTGTGGCCGCAGGACAACGACACGGGGTCTGACAGAAATCCATGGCACTTCCGGCACTTGAAGCCGTCCCACACCTCGGTGGCTTCGGCGGCCGTTGCAGCCCCTGCCTCCTCTGCCGCCACCGCGCTGCTCCCGTCCGGGGGCGCCGCCAGCGCCTCGCCTTGCGGGACGTTCTCGGCCAGGAAGCGCACCAGCTGCTCCAGCTGCTCGGCTACCAGCTGCTGCCGCTCCGAGAGCTGTCTGTATACCTCCAGGGCTTCCCGGAGGCGCCCTCCAGACGCCAAGGCGTCGGCCTGCGTGAGCAGGACTTTGCACTCCCGCGTCGAGGCCCCCGGAGGCTGCTGTTGCTCCGGCTCCTGAGTCGGTAGACGTGCGGGGCCTTCTGTAGCCACCTCCGAGTGGGGGCCCGTGTCTACGCGGGCCGCCAATGCCGCCGGCTCCGCCAGCTCTAAGTTATTACTGCCACGCTCGGCGGGCAAGCTCAGCATCTGTCCAGTCTGAAATGAATCCATGGGGAGAGGGACAAGCGGGAAAAAGGCTTCTAAGGACCGGGGACCCGGAGCAAGGAGCCACGGCTGGACGGAATCCGGGCTGCCACAGGCGCCGCGCCGCCGTGCGCCGGTCCCTGCCGCGCCTCCGCCACTTCCATGCCGGCCGCCCCGCGCCGCCTAATAACTGTCTTGTCTCAGCAAAGTGTTATATAAAACGGCACCACGTGACGCGCCGCCACGCCGCTCATTGGCCGGCAGCGGGGAAATTGTTACAAAACCAGACAGTTTTGTAACAGTGTTGCGCTTGCTTCTTTTGGCTTCGCTTTCCTTGGCTTCTTTTTGAGGTTGTTTGTGCTTACACTCCGCCTTATTTCCCCCTCGCAATGTGCTTCCTTTTCAGAAGAGAGAGAGGGAAAAAAACCCAAAGTCTTCTCTCGGGCTTCTCCGTCTCCAAACCCTACCCCATCCGACCTCCAAAGCCGCCAGCAAACAGGTCCCCTCTGCCAGCCGCTCGCTAACGGCCCCCTCCCCCAACCCGTCCCTGGAGAGGCCGGTACCTCGAGGCGCGCCGGCCGCCAGGTCTTTTGGGATGCCGAAGGCTTGCCCTGGGAGCCCCGCCCCGGATCCTCACACTCCGGGTCCCTGACCACCTTCCCCGGGGAGTCCTCCAAAGGTAATGAGTGCGGTTATCCGAGTCCGCTTGGTCTCCTGTGCTGGGAGCGACTCGCAGCAGCGGACCCGGCGGGCGCAGAAGTTGGGCGGCGCTCGCTAAGCGGTGAGGGACGCGCCGAGAAGATGCGCTCGCCGGCTCGGGCCCAGGGGAGGCGCCCCGCGTGCCCCGCTTCCTCACCTCTCTCTCCCCCAACGCCAGAAGCTGCGCTGGGGCGGGCGGCGGGCGCCCCGCTGGACACGCACCCGGCCCTGGGAGCCACCGGCCGGATGGGCGCGGCCACGAGAACTCGGTCAGCTGGAGTCAGTAGGTAGTCTGGGGGCGTGGGAGAACGGCAGGCGGAAGATGGGAATCGAGAGCGCTACTCTGGAGAAAGTCCGAGAATCCTGGCGCACTCCAGGAGCCGAGCTGCCTCCAGGTTCCCGGCTCCCGGCTCCCGAGCGCTGAGTTCAGACATCAGCGCGTCACAGTGGGGGGCTGCGCGGGAGGGGTTGGGCTGCGCACTAGCCCCCTGGTGCTTGGCTCACAGTGGCTAGGGGGCCGCCAGGGTGCCCCGCTTATTTCCAGAAGACCAGTGTAAACCGCCCACACTCTGTCTCCCTCCCACCCCCACACTTTGGACGGGAGCCACATGCACAAAAAATAAGCAGACAGGGGGCCAGCCCAGTGGCCTAGCGGTTAAGTTTGCTACGCTCCGCCGCAGCGGCCCGGGGTTCACAGATGCGCATCCTGGGCGTGGACCTATGCACCGCTCATCAAGTCATGCTGTGGCAGGCATCCATATAAAGTAGAGCAAGATGGGCACAGATGTTAGCTCTGGGCTAATCTTCCTCTCCAAAAAAAAAAAAAGCAGACACGCTTAGAGACCTAAGGGAATAACGCACTTTCTCCGTGGTCACGCTGCTCCGAGCAGGGAGGCGGGGTCTTGGGCTTGCCTCGGGCTCAGTTCTCCTTCAGAATCTGCGGACTCTGGGCAGTGCCTAGAGCAGTGCCTGGGGCAGAGTGGCGCCCCAGGGGCCTGAAGACCTACAGTTGGCTCTTGCTGTGGCCACTTCTTAGCTGAGTGGCCTTGAGTAAGTGACCTAAACTCTGGGAGCCATTGTTTTGGCTTCTGAACAAATGCCAGGCATGGTCTTAGTTGAGATCAAGTCATGTTTCAGAGCTGGGGGCCACAGGCTGCATCCCAGCTCTGTGTCTCCTAGGTCGTTAATCCCCCCTTGAGTCAAAACCAAGGTCTCAGAGAACAGATATTGGGCAGCTATCCCTAGAGCCTCCCTCTGGTGAGGCAGGACAGGGGGAGAGGGTCAGAGGGGAGAAAGGAAGCTGGCATATAAGGGAAAGAGACTAGGAAAAGAAACAGGAGCTAAGGTTTAGCCAGGAAGGCATAAGGCACACATGTGAAAACTCGGCTTGCAGCCCTGGCTTTGTCATGACTTGCTGTGAGACCATGGGCAAGTGCTCCGGCCAGGTCTTCGTTTCTCCTGATCTCCAAGGTTCCCTCCAGCCCTAACCTTGAGTGGCTTGTATCCTAAGACCAGATTTCATGATACCAACTCAACTACTTAAATACAAAAGACTAGTTCAGATGCTGTGGGTGGTGGCTTGGACAAGGGGTGAAGTCGGCAGTAGTAGTAGAGGGCAGGGGTAGCTGGACAGCTGTCCTCTTCGTCGGGGCCAGGCCTGAGCTCGATTTTGAAGACAGGGAAGTCAGGGGACTGGCCAAGAAGTGGAGGAGATCGCTCTGCCGGGCAGGCAGTCGGGGAGAAGCTGGGGCTCCTGCTGACTTGCTGTCTGACTAAGGGGAGCTCCTCTCATCCTTCAGTTTCCCCTGCTATTGAATGTGGCCTGTCTTAGTCCGTTCAGGCTGCTATAACAAAATGCCATAGACTGGGTGGTTTATAAACAACAGAAATGTATTTCTCACAGTGAAATTATTTCTGGAGGTTGGGAAACCCAAGACTAAAGTGCTGGCGGATTCAATGTCTGGCGAGAAGCCACTTCCTGGTTAATAGACAGCTGTCTTTTTGCCGTAACCTCACGTGGCAGAAAGGGGAAGGGGTCTCTCTGGGGTCTCTTTGATAAGGGCACTAATCCCATTCACGAAGGCTCCACCCTCATGACCTAATCACCTCCCAAAGGCCCCATCTCCAAATACCATCACATTGGGGATTAGGTTTCAACATATGAATTTTGGGAGGACACATTCAGTCTATAGCAGGGTCCCCAGCATTAATTATCTGCCTACCCCTTCAGGCACCTGTGAGGAGGGATGGTCTGTGGGGCAGGTAAAGACATTTATATGAAAGGGCCATGAGATGGATAATGATGAAAACCTCTTAATTCAAGAATTTTATTCTTTTGACAAGTTTTAAAAATAGATGTCGGTTACCCAAAATTGTCTTCCAGATGCAGATCTGGGATGTGCCTTGCTCCCTGGACCACCTGGACAAGTAAGCATTTCCTGGCTTGGTTTCCCTGCCTTGCCCGTCGGGGAAGGAGAGGCAAGGAGAAGGCCAAACCTACTCAGGCAGCAGGTTTCAGTCCTGCAGGCGTGGAGCAGAGATGCTCTCATCAGGTAGCCCCTCCCAAGGCTGACCTTGGTCAGGAACTTGGTCAGGAATGTTAATAGCTGCCAGGGTGATGCAAAAGGCAGCACCAGCTACTCACTGAGCAGACTCCACGAGAGTTTTACATTGTATGCCAGTCAGGACTGCCTGTAGGATAACACCAAATGGGTTTCTATTGAATACGGGAAAACATTACCACAGGGGTTTTCTTTCCTTCTTTATTTAAATTAAACAAACATTACACCGATATACATTTGGGGACTAATCAGAAATCTCCTACTCAAAACTCTCTCCCCTCTGCTCTAATTGGAGCTCCCTAGGAGGGGAGAGGAGAGATCGACACCACTTTTTCAGATGCAAATATTCCCTTTGGAGGGCCATGGGGTTCTTCAAACCTGCATTTATGTTGCTAGGATTGCCCCATGGCTAAGGTTAACCAGGAAAAGGACCAAGAGGAGAGCTGCCCCTCCTTTCCAACTGACTACAGCAAGTTTTCCAACTGGGCTCTGAGGGACCTCTCAGGGGCTCAGAGGAGACAGCAGGCCAGTCTCGACTCTCGCTCCCCTCAACCAGGGCAGCCTTGCATCCACCTGCTTCACGTAGTGACCTGTTTCACTTAATGTCTTGTGTCTATCATCTCTTCCTCAGAGGACAGTATTTGAACAGATCTTACTGAACATGGCAGTGGACATTTTGGACATTTGGGAGAGTGCAGAGGGACAAGAGGAAATCCAGCTGGAATGGCATATCCGGAATGCCCTGGGTCATTCACAGAGGAGAGAGTGGACACACAGATAATTAAGAGTTGAGAGTCTTATACTACCCCGCACCCCCCACCCCCACACATGGACACAGGCTATGCATGAAAGCTTGGCCAAAGCACTTACTTGCTCTTTACTTGGGTCTCTCATTTTATAAACTGGGAGTGACCTATCAGTTATGCAGTCCTTACAGGGGAAAAAAAGGCATCGTGGGCATTAATGGCATTAACATGAAAAAGGCTGCTCCTTGTTATCTAGAGTAGCTGAAACCCAGATCTAAAAGAAACTTTACAGATCAACCCTGGTTTCACAAATGAGGGAACTGAGAGAAAGCAAGTGACTTGCTGCAGGTCACAATGGCAGTTTGTGATACAGCCAGGATTGGAAGCTAGGGCTCTTGTCTCTTCGTTTAAGGTTCTTTCCATGTGATCAGAAAGCTTCCAAAGGACACAGAACATCTCCCTAAATAAGTAAGAAATTATTTCAGATTTCCAAATTACAAGATTTGCAATCCAACAAATATTTATTGAACATATACTGTGTGCTAATGCAGCTGGCATTTGTGGGGCAATGATAGAAGGGTATGACACAGTTCTTGTCCTCCGGTAGGTAACTGAGGAAACAACAGGCAAAGATTTGAAACAGTTAAGTAAAAATAACAAGCAGTATGTGAGAAGTGCCAAGACGGGGAACAGTGAGTCCAAGTGAAAGCTCACAGGAGACAGACTGCATTGCTTCCATCTCATAGAGAAGGCGCCTTTAAGCTAGGTTGGAGAAGATTTAAACAGAAAAGTTCAAGACCAGCCTGCTGCTCAACTCAAAGGGGTTCCCTTCACTTTGGGGGCCATGTAGCTGGGAGAAAGGAGGAGAAATCCAAGCAAGCTGGGCTGGTCAAGGCCCAGGAATTTGTATTTTTAAAGGCTACACATGTGATTATGATGCTCAGCCAGGTTTGGGGTTCACCCGCCTAAAGGATACTGTAGAACAGATTGGATAAGTACATCCCAATCCTTCTTCCTTAGCTCATCCTCAGTTTCTCTGGAGGTAAGCATCAATAATTCTTGTCTACATTTTACTGGAGGGAAAACTGAGGGTCCAGAGACTTTCAATGATGTGTTCAAGGTCATTCAGCAAGTATGGGGACTCTGGTTTCCTGC